GAGAAAGACTATAAAAAAAGTAGTTTCACAGAAAAGTAACAAACATGCCATTATGATTTACCTCAATTAGAATAAACCAACCAGAAAGAAAACAGGCACAATCATAGGTAGCCTATCAAAAGCAGTAATCTCCTGTAATTTTAAAGCAAAGGAATCTTAGTGTATTGCACAAATTTGAGGAAATTAGAAGAACTGTTTATAGTGGTTAAACTCAAAAGTGGGATGGCAGAGAAAAGGTGACAGTTACACAAACGCTGTATCAAAATCAAATTCTGAAGGGGCAGCCTGTGACAAAATCCTGCTGCAGCCCAGACGGCACACTTGTACTGATGGGAGTAAATATTTGGCAGAAAAGACAGCATTTCTAGGGTAATTCTTGCCTACAGGCATGACTGGTTCTATGGAATTTCTCCTCCCCTTTTAAAGTTGAACCTTAAACAAGGGGAGAGGAAAGGGGGGGGGGGGAAGTTTCAAAATAGATTCAAACAGATATTCAAGGTAAAGAAGCCTCATTTAAACTTCAAAAATATAACCTTACAACTCCAATTATTGGTTTCCATACCTAGAGATAAAAGACTTTGGCTAAATTTTGTGGGATCTTAGTATTCAGCAGTTTTCCACGACTGGCCCTTAAAAACAATTTAATTCCCTTAACTAAATACAAAGGACCCAGAAAGAAACAAAACCTACATTCAGTTCTAAAAAGAACATCTTTTTAATCAGCTGTACAAGTGCTAACGTATATGGCTATTTGTTAATGAGGACTGCTTGGCTATTCAAAGCGTCAGGAAAAACTCTTCCAGTCCAGTTAACCTAATGTCAAGCATATTTATCAGGAATCAGAATTGAAAAACTGTTAACTTTTTTAATGGAGGATACGAAGACCCATTTACAGAAGCATTCTGCACAAACAAGGGGTTTTCAAGTGTTTTATTTGTCCATTTAGAATGATTAGTATTTATAATCAACAACATAAATCCACCCCTCAATGAAAAGAATGGACAGCTTGTTATTGCCAGGCATATTACAACCTGCTGAAGGGTGAAGAATTACAGATATATAAAGATGAATAACATTATATCATCATTAAGTTGCTTATTCTGCTCACAACAGTTTAATCATCTAATTTTATAAATTAAGATTTGGAAAAAAAAAAAATCAACACTTCAGTGGCAAAATACATTGCATTTAGTACACAATGTAACAACAGTACTGTTAGTTAAACCAGTGCATTAAAAGGTAAAGAGCAGGACAGCTCCTTTGGAGTAATGTATCATCGCTAATCCCTTACACAAACACAGTTTACAGCCCACAAAAGTTACCAAGAAGTCTTTAAGAAGTCTCCTGCTGCGCAAATTCATCCCACCTAAAATCAGTTTATTCTGGAGAACTTCTCTCCTATACTCGTATTACTTCAATATGAGCACCTAAAATTTTATTCGTTCACATCTGGAATTCCCATCTGCATGTCTCTTCTGAAGTCAAACAAGTAACCAATAGACCTGCATCCATACTTCAACTATCAGGATGAAACCGAAGCAGAAAACTGGCTTTCATTTCTCACCTAGTTAAATGAATAGCTACTTAATATTTTGAAACTCTTGTAAAAAGTTTCCAAGTTTAGTGTTTTAGACTACTGTTCAAGGTTACTTCCATGTATGAAACTTTACATACAGATTTGTAACTAGTCAATAGGGATAGCAGAATAATTAATTGTTGGGGGTAGGGGACACACACACAACCACCAAAAACACTCATCTCTATCTGTTAGAGATGGAATTTTGAGAACTCTTCTCCAAAAGCTAATTTGGAAAATAACCTTTATAATAATCTTCCAGTAATAACTGTGATTATATTGAATCTATACTAGATGACCACTTCAAAAGACTTCAGTTAATGCTTACTGGAATCAGTCTTCAAAATAATGTGAATCAGAGTAATACTTAATATAAACCAAAGTATACTGCAAATCTGTTTCTCAAGATAAGAGATTTCCTACTACAGATCTGAGTGCCCTATCAAGTCTGGAACTACTTGCTTGTCAACTAAGCAGGAGTTCAATTGGAAAAGTTAGTGGACATAGGAGGCATTTTTTGTCATGACAAAGGACATCCACTTCATTCAAGTTGACCAATAGGACAACAATAAAATAAATTCAGAAACCAACTGAATTTGGAAAAGGGGTGATGAAAGTCCCATTCTGGACCACAATATATTTTCAAGGCATTTTTTCTTGGAAAAAAAATGACTTGGAAAAGTAACTTGGGAAAAAAAAAAATATGAAGTGAACCACAGAAAAAACAGAAACTCCCCCCCCTTTCCCTAGGATTTGAAATTCCCTCGGAGCTTTACCCGGTTAGGCCTAGGCAAAGTTTGAATATGAATAGATTGCAAGCCCTTAAGACAGACAGACTTTTTTTTTTTTTTTTTTTAAATCTTGTCATCCTAGGTATAAAAGGAAATGATATTCACAGCCCCTCTGTGCTACAGTAATGCAGTCAAACAAATTACATACATACTACTTTTCGCTCCACCACAGGAAAGAGATGCTCACCCAAGCTTTAGTGAAAAAAGGCTAGTTTTTCACATGTGATCTGACACGAATGTAACGCTCTGCTTATCAGTATCCATGAGTTGATGACAAAGGGTCACAAAGGGTTTATCCTTTACACTGTGCAGAGACAGTCACGAGGAGTCAATTTTAACTTACAACTTTTAACCCATTTCAATCCTTTCATTGGAAAAGGGGTAGTTTAAAATTAAGGCACATCCTGCATTGCCTGATCAGTCATAAGATACACTTCTATTCCACTGAAAATATGATCTACTATAAGGCTGGTAATGAAATTTTGCCTAAGTAATCAAATGCACTTGAAGCACTCTATTGCCAAGTCTCATACTGTAGTAGAAAAACAGAAAAAACCTTAGGCACTTTGTGCAAAGGAAATTTTAGAACCACAGCCTACAACTACATGGGGCCACTGGCTCATTAGGTTTATTGGCATTACATTCTTTGAGAATGAAAGGAATGGACACAATTATTTAAGTGTTAAAACCGCAGCTTGAAACTCCTGTACCTGCTATCTGCTGCCTTCTAAACCTGTCTTAAAAGTGAGCTGAGAAGTTAAGATTTTGGTATTCAAAAAGATTTAAATCTATGATTTAGTTTCCATCATTACCTTAAACTAAAATTTTCCCCTAAAAATGGAAAGGGAAAATCCCATACCAACCAGGGGATAAAGTTACAGTCACATTGATACCTACTCAAGTAAACATCTAACGAACATTAAGGACAGAATTTGGATTCCCTGCCAAGAGATCAATCTCAACATAGCATTAAATTGTCCTCAAAGTTTGAACTGGCGCTGATTCAAAGTAATAAGAGAACTGGGTTCTCCAAACACAAAAAGCCACCTCAGCTGGCTTCAACGTGAAAGTTGTCAAACTGTGCAAACTCGAAGGAGCGTGTTCCGATAGCAGCCCAGCCATTACTTGGTTCAGTGATGGTAACATTCTCCCAGAGTGGATAACCATTTAACAGTCCGGAGGCTGAAGTGCCCTGTCGAAAGAAAGGAAGGAAAGTCAGCTTTGTAAAATCCAGGGACTAAATACGTTGACACTGAGCAATCTCACATGGGAGAAGAGATGATGCAATTCAGAAAGATGCTAAGTGAACTTGCAATATTTAGATTCACCTTTGCATGGACAATATGTGAAGCGTAATTGCATAGAATCATCCAGTGCCTATGAGTTCTGTGAAAGAGATCTAATGCATTCCCAGTGAATAGATAAAACGCTCACTTTCACCTAACTTAACAGCTTCGTAAATTCAATGAAGAATCTGAAAGGTAAGCTTGATTTTCTTCTTGCATCTGTGCCAGGCTCCCTCAAATAGGCCAGGTGTCTTCAGGAGAGCAGCAAAGCTAGAGCTACCTGGATTGCTAATAGTCCTTTCTGGGGTATGATACATCTGGCATTTATTCTGCAGATTTAGGCAAAAGCCAAAGGGCAACAAAGATCTATTTTAGTCACTAACCTGAGAGGAGCAGGAGAGGACAGTAGAACTTTAAAGTATAACATTACCACTAAAATTAAAAACAGTTTCAGTAAAATTCACTTAATCTAGCTTGCTAGTGTTTTCCACCAAACATTAGTGGTGGTGGGGGAGGGGGAAATCACTCCAATTTACTTGCATTTCTTTATCTGAAAGACAGTTATAAACACAAGTAAAAGCAAAGAATGCATTTCAAGAAGCAATTATTTTCTCTAGTCAGCGTGAAAACTCTTTAAAGAGAGCTCTACGTTTCTAGTCATTACATCAAAGACATGCTTGGCACAAAATACTTTAATAGCACAGGTAGAAGTTTGTAACATCACCATTTAAAATTATTACCACGGCTTTGAAAAATTTACATTCATTTTCAGCACCTCATTTAGCCCATTTTACAGTTGACAACCACAGTCAGTGGTGAACAAAAATTTAAAAAAAATGTGTGTGTGGCAGGGGGGGGGAACATGTGTGTGTGTGTGTGTGAACAAAAATCAAAACTAAGCTACTTCCGTTCCTGTGAACACCCAGATAAGAGTGTCCATTTGTCTTCCAGTGTGAAAGTACAAAATGTAAAAGTAAGCTTCTGAACATTCACTTGACATTTTAGCATGAGAGAAAAGACTTGGTGCATAATTTTAAAGAGAGTTAGCCTCAGTACTAGATCTCCCCAACTAGGATTCAAGTTCTCCTATACTTCAGGCCACATGCCATTGCAAAGGTTACATTCAGCAAGAGGACTGACTCTACGGAGGGATTTGAAGCTATTCCTGTTTCAGGTATGTACATCAACTCCACAGCCAGCTACCTGCACAGGTATACTAAAAGTAGAGTTTGGGACCACTTTGTTTACTAATTAAGACAAAACGGTTTGGACAGGCTTCTCATCAATTATGGCTCATTTCCACAGCAAAAGTATGTTTATGCCTTATCTGTATAGGAGAGAAGAATGGCATCTCCTCTCAGTTCCCTAGTCCTTAAGTGGCTCCATTTACAAGGCCTTAGAGTGCAAAGCCCACTAGGGTGGGAGCAACATTTGTAAAACAGGCTAGTGCAGTTTCTGATAGTCTTCAGAACAGAAAAATCAGGTTACGATCCTTTCATAACACTAAGCCAAAGATTCTCTCTACCTCACCTATGTGCAGCTTTCAACTCATCTTTGCCATTCTTTTCTATACCCTCTCCAGTTTCTCAAGATCTCTATAATAAATTATTGTCAGTAAAACTTGATAAGAAATTACAATATTAGTTACAAATAATGAATAGAAATATCTGTGTTTTAGATAGGGCACTTTAATGCAATTGGACAGTCAATAGTATGCCACAGTTTTGTCCAACTCATCCAGGACAGGAAGTTTCACAACTGCTCCTTGAACTTTTTCCCCATTTACATCCTTACCTGGATGTTGAGAGTAAGCGTGTGCCACGCGTTGGCCCGGACACCAGAGAGTCCTTTCATCAGTATTTCTTCTCCAGCTGCAAAACATGCTCAAGGTTAGCAAAGCGTTACTTCACACCTTTACTATAAGACTCGCAGCTTAGTATCAAGACAGTAAGAGAAAACTAATACCCAATTTTCAGAGGTGTTCAGAACCAACAGCTTATGGACTTCAACAGCTGCATGAAGGGCTTAACACGCAGACCTGAACTCTGCACTATCAATGTCATTCTCCTGTTTTGCCAGGACTGTTTTACCACTGAAATCTGTAAGGGTCAAAAAGCTTCTGGGGATTTGGCCGAAAATAAGGATTCCTCATATTAGAGGCATAGGTTCATAAGGTGCGACAGTAGCTATTGCTCTGCTTGTTCCACAAGTCTCCTTGTTAATGAACTGGTATTCTGCTTTCCTGAGTTTGAGATGCCACGTCAGCATGTTGCTTCTTTCTGACTTTTTTGCTCAGCTTAAATTTTGACTAGGTGTTACTGACACCTGGATGGAAGACCTGAAAAAAAATTAAGCGCAACAAGTAGCATCTTCAATTATTCAGTAGAGAGCCTGAATATTAGATCAACTTGCAGCTAAAACTATCTTCTAGAAAAATACAAAGATCACTGAAAATAGCTGTAGAGAAAAAATCATCATATTGTATAACCAGCATCCCAGTCTGAAATAATGAGGTGGTCAATCAAATACCCCTCATTTAAACTAGGAAAATTACTCTTGACAGTCTGAGAAACTAATAGGGTAATGTTGCTATGTCTTATTAAAAATAAATACTGGAATCCACTCTTAACATAAGTATGTTTTTATACAGTTGAAACCTAAGTTGTGGTGGAGTTAGATTATTGTGAAGTTTCCTAGGGTGCAACAGTGCACTAAGAAGAGGTAGCGTGATGCCTTTTCTATCCCATTCGTTCAATGTGAAGAGGAGTAAGGAAGGGAAAAAAAAAAAAAAAAAGGAGAAAAAAACCCGAAGAAAATGAGGAACAATAACTACCAAATAGAAGAGGGGAATATTTTTAAGGCGCAGCAGTGTAGTGTGAAATGGGTCATTACAGGCTGTCTTGAAATCAGATAAACTGTAGATCTAAAAATTGCATTTAAGTCATCAGGAATCACTGAAAACTCTAATTTATACTTGTGAAGCAATAGGAAATACATTTACAGCAACAAAAACTGCCACTGTTTCAAAGCAAGTTAAAACACCAAACTTTTAGGCATTGCTCAAGTATTAAAACATATAGTCTTCCATGTGCCTGTCAAGTGCTGTACAGATGAACACATGAGTGCTGGCATTACAAGTAGAACATGATCTGACTACTGAGTTAGACCAACAGAGTATAATGCGTAACTTGTGGAAGCCGTAGGCCACTCATCATCATCTAAAACAAATGCGCGTATATTGACTTACATTGCTAAATGACATGGGCCACCGCATTTAAAGTCACATTTTCTTTTTAGGTATACTATAAGAATCAAACTTTTCTAAAATTACCAGTGTATTAGAATATTTACAAAAAACAAAATAAGTTACCTGAACTATCGTTAAATAGGTTTTGTCAACACAAAAAAGACACAGAAAGCTGAGATTGATTAGTATACCAGCCAGTTGCCTTCAGATGTTCCATTTGCATATAAAATATGATCCCAATGAGAACACCACAGGTTAAGTTCACAGTGATAGCAGCTGAGCATCTGAGCTATGAAATCTGCTTTTTTTTTTTTTTTTTTAATATGCAGGTTTCTAGAAGGCTTTCAAGCTGATAAGTCTATATGCCAGTATGCACTTCAGCAAATAGCTGCTTACCTAGGTCACCAGTGACTCTGTAGGTACCATCTGCAAAAACCCAGAAGAAAACTCCTTTGGTACTTCGAACATATATCCCACCATTGCCAACTCTTCCTGCAACAAATACGCCTCCATCATGTGGTTGTTCTATGTAGATGTCACAAGTGACTGTCAAGTTTTCCCTGTAAGCAAAGTTTAGCATTTTAGCAAGCACAGAATGAATTTTGAGCAGCCAGTAGGTTTGGGGAAAAAAAAAAAAAGAAAAAAAAGAGAGAGAAAAAGTCTTCTCTATACAGTATAGCAAATTTTTTGAGGAAAGGTTTAGCCATTCTAATTACTACCTACAGTGTGAGATGTATGGAACCATCCTCACCTATAACTTGTCTAAACTGGCATTACCCCACCTGCAAGTCTACAGATTTTCTTCTAAAAAATTCTTCCTTTCAGAAATCAACAGCAAAACCAAGCATACCGTCAGCAAGTTGGTTTGTTACACAAAGGCTTGCACCTCCACAGAAAAACTTTTAGATCTGCAAAACAACGAGTTAGAAACTACTTTTTAAGATGACTAAATACGATTATGTCTCTTCCTTTCACTCTCAAATTTTAGGCCGCAGCTGCTAAAATTTGATCTTCATTTCTCTAGGGTCTTTAATACAGGTCAAGTTTTAGGAAATCCAGACTCCTTGCCCAAAAGCTATTAATAAATAGTTCAACTAGGTTGAATTCATTTAATTTTCCTGTGCAACAGTGACACTTGAGTGCAACTGTAAAGCACCAAGTTGTACACAGAAGGATAACTGAAAAGGATAAAAATATACCATCAAGCAAAGGAATACCAGAACAGTCAAATTGCACCTAGAAAACTTGCACAATCTTTTTTCTTGAAGTTGCAGTACAAGCCCCTTACAATAAAAATTAAAAACATTCATTTATTTTATTAATTCAGCAAACTAAAATCTAAATCCCAAGTCTGAAATGACTTGCAGTAAAATGGTGTTAATATAGGTGCAAGCCATGTATAGGTTCAGTACAACCATCAGAGTAAAACATTAACAAATGCAAGAGTAGAAGTGCAGCACTTTTATAACACAAGATTAAAATTCAAACCAAAAACAACTAAATAACTCTAAAGTTTAATCACGACAAATTGTTAGTAATGACTGAAGTCACAGTTGTCACCCCACAAAGAAATCCAGTGAAATATTAGTTCAGCATTGCAATAGAATGCAATAAAACTAGAAAAATATCAACCTTAAACCGGGGATGAAGCAAACAAATAAAAGGGCATGAAATTGAAGACTGAGGTTATGAAGAGTTCTAGGTGTATAAGACTAGCTTGAACAACCAGCTGAACATTCAAAAAAAGCTTTATTCTGAGAACAGGGTGAGAGCTTAGTAAGAAATGAACTCCAAGTGAAATAATAGGAAGCTTTTGGGCATTTCAGTGCAAGAGCCTAAGAATACAAACTATGAAGCAGTTTTAGGGATCACTGAACGTGATCTGCTCAATGAGGGATAGTTGATTAAGGGGGAGTACAGGACTTTGCTTAACAGAGAACGGCAGAAGAAAATATCAGGTAACTGAAAAACAACCTCCAACTAGAAAGTGGTGGCATCATTATTCCAGGCTTCAGGGCAAGACGATCATTTAGCCAGGCCCAAAAATAAAGACAGGTGAAGCATGGTCTGAAGAAATATTTAGGGGATTACTGATCCAGTCAGAATGAAAAAAAAATGACAGAAGGGTTACATGAAAGAGTATATCAAAAGAATTTAGGCTAAACTCTTCCAAATCAAAGAAATAAAGTCTTAAGCACAAAGTTTACTATTACTAAACCTATTATTTAACAGGTTCTTTATTAGTATTAAAAAGGATTTGGCAAAGTCATGCTGAAATACGCTTCTTGATACCAAATTACCACAACCACAGCTCCTAGAAAGAGCTACACTCATTATACTCTCACCTGATCAGTAAGGCTCAGTTACACTTACGCAGAAATAAAACTCTGTTCTCTGAAGTAGGTGAACTAAATCCACACAGTTCTAGGGACTGCTCAGAAGGTGGCAGTCTACAACAAGTAGAACTGAATTAATTCCTAAATTATTTCATTGATACAAGATTGATCGAATCACTAACAAGTCAAACTTTATATGGACAAGCAAGACAACTTAAGGTAATTTAAACTGAATCAATCTTTTGTCTCATTTAAAAAAACACGTTGAAACTCAGTATTGTAATTCGAAGTGAGCACTAGAGTTACTGCTTTGATTTGGTCTTTCTAATAAGCCACCCTATACCCACTATTCTCAAAGACAGCTTGGACAAGCTTTATCCTGCTGGGAGTTGAGGAAGACATTGCAGCACTGGAAAACGTTACCAAGAGATATGGTGGAACCTCCATCTTTGGAGGTTTTCAAGATTCATCTAGGCAAAAACACAGCTGATCTGATCCAGTAGTGCTGGCAATAGTCCTGCCTCGAGCAGGGCTCAGTTGCCTCTGGAAGTCCCTTTCAGTTATCACTTCTACATGTCTATACACAGTCTGAAGGCATAAACCATCTGTTCAAGATAGATGAGGCTGGGGACAGATGAACAAACCAGCAAACAGCATTTACATACCACTGAAAGTTTCCTATGATACTGATGGTTTGGTCTGCATCAGAAGACCAAGTGATGGGTCGCTGAAGCACTACCTGACGGAGCGTGAACACGTGATCTCCCGGATCAGAAGTGTTTATGAAGTATTCAAATACACCTGTCTGATCGGCAAAATTTGGAGCTTCACTGAAAGGTGGATTACCTGTTCAGAGAATAAAATACATATCAACACCAAAAGATTATTTTTCTTCTACCTACCCTTGCTTTCAGAGAGTTCCTCTGAAGATATTCTCCATTCCTCTGACTCACTCCATCAAAGCACAGCCTCCAAAACTGAACTAAGTTTTGGGGGTTGGGAGGTTTTGTTGGGTTTTGGATTTGTTGTTGTTGCTTTTAAGCAGGCCCCAGTTTTTACATACACATAAATGAAACAAACTACCTTCTTCCCTTTCTTACTTCCAAGAACTTTCTACTTCACTGCACCTATGAGCTGTATCATCTCAATCAAGAATTTTAGAACTGTTGGTGGCCATCCAGTTAAAACCTATTAAATACACCTTCTTGCAAGTGACATATGCAGGTGTAAACTGTCAGAGAAACAGGTATGAATAAGCAAAAACAAAACATACATTCAGATTACTTCATGTCTCATACACACACATAGATGACTCAAATACCACAACTGTAACAGCCTTTCTTTCTTGAGACAATATCCATGTGTAAATAAAGTTTCTACACCAGCAAATTCCAACTTACGAATATTGAAATCATCTTTGTAATTGGAAGGAAAGGGCTGAGATGGTGGAGGATCTGGGCTAGTATATTTTTGCCCTGTCTCGAGCGTGGTTAAAGTGTAAACTTCATCCACATTTAGATCTAAAGAAAAGCTTCCCCTCCAGACCTGGAATTAAAGAAAGCTCAAGCTGCAAAAAAAAAAGCCAAACACTACTAGATAACAATATATTCAAGTTCCTGAGTTAGAAGAGATCCTCTTAAGTCCTGATTTAAGGCAAAAAAACTGTCTTCTTGCCTCAGTGTTTAATACCTCCAAGTTATATTCAAAACCACTCCCCCAGCCTCTTTATAGCATTCTCCAGGTAAGTTTGGATACAGCTAGTCAAGTTGCAATCAAACAGAGCCAGCGAGACATGACTTAATTATGCAGTTAAGACATGAAAGACCAGGATTTCCAGCAAAGGAGGGTAAAACCCTTGAAATTACAGACAGACTTCGAGGAATACTCATTTATGGGCAGGATTTAAGTAAAGTCACATATCAGACAGAACGCTCCTGACTTTAAAAAAGCGGCATTTTATCAAAGTCATCAGTGAACAACTTCAGAATATAGTTCCTCACAAATTTGATGAAAATGCACTTTCTCATGTTCTCACTACTTTGGGTAGCAGAAATACAATTTCAATAGAGGTTCTTTATTCCAGAATATTTCTTCCAAACGCATCCAGAGAACACGCAAGTCCCAAAGGCTTGACAACGAACGCATGCAGAGAGTCTAAAAAGTTGGAATGTTAATCAGGCCTCCAGGCCAGAGAAATACTATGGCTGCAGTCTTGCAAATCCTCCTGTAGCAGGAACTCCAAGGCTAATTTAGACCAACACTAACACCTAGTAGATGAGCGTAAATGAGGTTAAACTGGACAAATAATGCTTGGATCTACCATTTGATCTGACATTTTATTATGTTGTTAATGCTCTGGCTGAGAATAAAATAAGGTGGGGCAGAAAGCAAAAAAGGCACCACATGTATCATTAACATATTTGAACCACGCAACTGATTACTCTCAAAGCACATACCTGCTAAAAAGCAGTGATGCATTAGCCCTGCACAACAATCAGCATCACCACCCTGCTCGGCATTTATCTTCATGAATACACATAAAAAAACATGAATTTTCTCTCTGAGGGGCACACCCAGAAGGGCCCAATATAAGTTACTTTAGATTACTCTGATATAAAGGATTCTACTTTTTACTTTGTAATCCTATATTCTAAATCAAAGGAAAAACATCTTTTTCCACTATCAATTCTTAAAAGCAAGATTACTACAGAGTACTAAAACAGATCCATCTACCTTCATAGGATGAAGCTGCTGGAAGAAAGTAGAGCGTGCAGATTCAAAGCCAAGCCTCGAATGCCACACCTGAAGGGTTTTCACCATAGCCTGCAATGAAACATAATACAATTTAAGTCCTTTAATATTCACCTTTAGAAATATCGATCCTTTAAGGGCGTCTACCTTTTGTTAGATCTGTTGAACTCATGAGAAGCCACCGCTCTATCCAGCCACACATTACATACAGATTAACTTTTCTGCAGATGACGTATGTCAATAAGTAGTACTACTGCATGTTGGGACAAAGACTTACGAAGACAGAATGCAATGCAATCACACATACACCTTTACCTTTTCTATTAATCAATGACAGCATGCCTTTGACGCAAACCCTCAGCCTACTAGCAACCAGACTGAGATAGTCTCATACTAATTTTGCTTTAATGAGACCTTGCGTTTAGTTCTTGGTTCTCTGATGTTCATTTCTGAACAGAGCATGTTGCCCATAGATCTCCTGTGATACTATGGCATATCAACTACATCAGTTACTGATTTTAAAAAAATAGCAGGAACTGGGTGTGATTAATTACCCAGATGAAGAGTGATCAAGGTAATCAGACAGTTTATCCAAATCAAACTCTAGATACTTCCCACAAAGGGATGTGTATTCCAAAAGCGATACTCAAATACTTTTCCCAAGCAAACCATTTTATCACCACAGTGTGCCATTCACATTATCTCCTCCTAAATGAAGGAAAACTCATGTCCCCAGAAATCAAACATTTAAACACTTTCAGCTTCTGAGAAGCAACTATCCAAAATAGCTACTAATAATAAAACATGCTCCGGTTACGCTATCAGAGCATTGTCCACATTTCAGAGAGTGATTCAGTTTAGCGAGAAAACAAAACCCAGGAGATTCTCAGAACCTCTTTATAGAATGGAGCAACCTAACCTACAACATACAAATGACGGCAGCTATTCCCATAGAAAGGGGCTATGGCAACTACAAAGGTCATAACTATGGCAGCCAGTGAAACTAAGTCAGCATGTCAGAATAACCAGCCTTGAAATAAACCTTGAAGAAAAATCCAATTGCATCTCTGTACTAGGCAGTTTTTTCCTAAGCACACAGATGATTAGACTGTAAGGTAGTAGTTCTGCAAATTGAGTTATGATATAACATCTCATGGTAAAAGCAGGAGTAGAGTGCTTTAAATTTTGCCAGAGGTATAACAGGCTCTACTGTTAGGAGGTGTAGAAGAATCCTGATTTCTTGCTATCCTGTGATATTACCTTGTTTGTATTCAACTACAGACAGCAACACATTTCACGAGAGTGATCAGATGTATTCAATATCTACTTACAAAAGACCCTTCGAGGTAGAAAGTTGCCCTCTGAGGTGACACACTGAAATGAGGCAGTGGAGGTCTAATACACTGAGAATGATTATGACTCTGAGCAGAAAAAGAACAAATAAAAAAACTAACAGAAGGAATATACATTTCTGGAATTCACCAGATACCAATGCTGATGAAAAAAAATCATACGGCATAAATGTAAATAAAAGAAGCAACATAGGATCAGTTTTCAACTCTCTGTTTCACTGCTCTCTGAATGATTGTTACCATTATACTAACTTAATAATTTTATTTGGGATGCTGCTTAGAACAGAATGTGATTTAAATTTCCTACTGAAATGTCATCAAATTTATGATACAAAAATGATATCTACAGTGACCACCAGGAACATTTTGATAGCTCCTTATTCAAAGTTTAGATAGAAAAAAAGACATCTAGTGGTCTCACTAACAAAACTCCAAATATCACAGAACATTTTACAGGTATTGAACTATGTAAATCTAAAGTTATTCATAACAAAACATTCCTTTATGTTTTCTAGTTTGTTGGAGCTGCTGAAGCACATTACCATAGTTTCAATGATAATCGTAAGGTTTCCCAGGCCATCAGTCAGAGCTACAAAGCTGCCGCCTCCTTCTAAGTGTCCATCTACTTGCAAGTATGACCAGCCTGGTTGAGTAAATTGGGTTGTGTGTGCTGAGACAAAACAGAGAAAAATTGGAAGAAAATAATTAAAAGTCTTGATCAAAAAATAACTATTATTTATAGTCCAAACTAAACTTCTCTCTCACACGTGCACACAAACTTTTAACTTTCTTCCAAAAGTAATGAAATTACCACAACAAATTCCATCTATACAAGATAAAAGAATTCTGTTTAGGCACAATTAAAAACACCAGCTCAATGGCAGACAAAACAGTTAAAAAGAAGTGATAGCAATTATTTAGACAGGAACAAAAAACATTATTATGCTATTGTATAAGTCAATCATGCAGCTGCAGTATGAATATTCATCACAATTTCTCTCTCTCACATGCACATCCCTCCATTTCTTCAAACAAAACAGTTGAGCTAGAGGAGATTAATAAAAGGAATGAGGTAAAGCACACTAGCCTTTACTGGCATTTCAGAGCAGCTATAAAAGGCAGCAGTTGATTTATCTGTGCACGCACCAAAGGTCAAATATTTAGATTTCCCTTGCAACTGATCTCCCTGCCTTTTTTTTTTTTTTTTGGTATTCATAAAATAGTTACAAAGAGCTACTTTAATTCAGTAGAAAAATTAACACACGTTAAAAAGCATTAAATTAATAGAGGGCTAAGACAATACAGTTATGCTCTGTTTTAGGTCACTTTAGCAAGACAAATTTGCAAACTTTTTACCTGTAATCCAAATAGGCGCTTCTACTCTGTAGTGGCCACTCCATGGCTCTTGTGCTGTCATTAATCCACATCGACCAAAGGGCAACTCTTCATAATAACTAGCCACTAAATTCCATGCAATAGTTCTGGAAGAAAAACAGGTTTGTTTGCTTCATTCATGCGGGCAGTATTAGATGAATTTGGTACAAGGATTTGTGTCTCCTGCCTCTCTCTCCAAGGATTTCAAATTAAAAAATCTCTAAGAATTCTAGAAAGCAAAAACAGCAGTACAGCTATTTTATCTAGCATACATTGAAAAGAAGCTTAAGGTAATAATCCTTCCTGTTAAAGGATAAAATCACAGGAAGGGAAAAGAAAGCAAATCAACTTGCAGTGTTGTGAACTGCTTACAGAACTGATACATTCTCTCTCTGTGTCACTGTAGCAAGTCACTAAAATTAAGACATTAATGGAAGCGTGCACTGAGGGTTAAAGACTTCATTTCTATTTTCTCTTCTGACCACATCAATTTGTGGAAACCCTGAAGGAAAAAGATTAAGCTGTCAATTTTTAGAGGGTTTTTGGTTGGTTGGTTGGTTGTTCCCTCCTGCCCCCTCCCCCTTCTTCTTAAATAAAGTATACTTCTTCCTTTACCCACATACATTAAGACGACAAAACAACTTTACCTGGCCAGCTTCCAGCAATTGTTACCATTTTAAGAAGCTGCCAGGACACTGACAAGGTAATTCCTTCAGGTCTTTTGATTTCATCTTCATTCAAAATCTGTAGCTAGGACTTGAAACTGAAGCTCTGTGCATCCATAAATATGCAAATACAGCTTAATAAAGTAGTTACATAGAAAACACACAGATGCCATATTATTCTGTTGTGTACTGATAATTGCAAAAGGTCAATTTTCTAAAGTCACTGCTATAGATTTAATCACAGTTTACACGCATTTCAGAAGGGATTCAGAAATCCCCTAAAAACGTACTCATAAAAAAGGTGCACTGAGATATAAACTTGACAAATTGCTCACATTAAAATTCTTCAAAGGTCTAGCCTCACGGGAAAGGAACGAAGGGAACTCAGACTCAAAGGAAGTACATTTAGCAGAAAGATGAGCCTTCTTTTATCAGCCAAAGCCTGTTTTCCATATAGAAGCTAAGATAACTTCATTAGGTATATGGATTTGGAACTATTCTACAATAATTTATGAATTCCATACATAGGTCTGGCTGTTGGGTTATTGACTAATGGGGCTCATATAATTACAAAAGGCTTGTAAAAAAATAAAAAAAAAAAGAAAGACTTGAAACAAGATATTTAAGCATATGAGAGTCAAGACAAATATATCACTGGTCAGGAATTCATCTAGGAAATATTTATGTTAGAAAGTGTCAGCTCTCAAAAGGAGAGATATCAATAAATATCCTCTTCCTGGTATCGACATGCTTTATGCTGTGCTCCCTTTCAAGCATTTCAGACAAAGATATTTCTCTTTATAGTTCCAAAATGAAATTATGTGAAATTTTATAGTTCCAAAATGAAATTATGTGAAATATAAAGCTTTGAAAATATTTTGCTTAGGTCCTGATGCTCACGCTTTCTTTAATCAGACTTTTTTTGAAACTAGTACTTGTTTCACTGGAAACAAAGAATGTTTTCTCTTCTGTTCTAAAACAGTGAGTTATATAATTTCTCAATAAATAGAACAGCTTTCTTAAAGATTTCTATTAGGCAAGAAAACATCCAGGAGAGAAAAAACATTAAAAAAAAATACAGCAGATTTCAGAATGGATTCTCAGAAGCTGTGTGGAAGAAGTAGACGATTACACTCTCACCTACTAATTTTAACTGAAGACAACAGCAAACTGACAGAGACTAAGAAACATATATGCAGATTAGCTTTGAAGTTATTTTCCTCCAGTGTTCTTCATGCTCCTAGCTTTCTTCTTAGGAGTGTTCTCTTTTTAATAAATATCATCAGGTTCTCAAAAGACACCTGAACTGAGTTGCACAAGCCAATGGAAACACAGAGAACAGTAACTCAAGAACACGCTAAAACTTGTGAGACTTCTATCCTCAAAGGGACACTGAGCCTTACTACATTTGCAGTCAGACTGATGGTGGAGAGTTTCACTTTACCTACTGTCTTAGCACAGCAGATGGATGCGTGGTATAGCACTTTAGATAACTCTTGCGTATGAAGCTGTGAAAATGAGCAACAGCACATAACACTTACGAGGTCATGTTTCCATTCACGTAGTTTTGGTTCAGGATCCGAGCCCAACAGCCTGCACCTACTTCATCATTCAAAGTACTATAATCTTCTGAAGACCACAGTTTCTTCTGAGTTAATATGGCATTCGGTACTGTTTTTGTTCCAGGATAGTGAGCCCTATACAATATTTTTTTTTTTTTTTAAAAGAAAGAGCACTTATCACACAAAGAAAAATTAAAGTCTGAAGCCCAAGCAGCAGAAAACTGATTCCCCTCCTCCAAACCACAAATGAAAAATAAACTCTTGCTTTGGAATAATAGCAATGTAATCAAAGAAATTGGTAACAGAGAGATCTGTAATATTATGGAGCTTACCTTATTCGTGTCAGTACAAGATCATTCCTTCTAAAGCAGGCCAGTGCATAAGTAGACCTAGTTTTAAATATACCATGCAGTTCCCACAGCTTGCTAAGGCAAAGCTTTATGCTGAAATTTAGCTCAAATATTTTCCTTATTTGACACAGCAGTTATGAAAGTACATGCTATACTTTGTACTAAACAAATCTGTAAGTAATTATAAATCAACAGCAAGTACTAGGTATTCTTATAAAACCTTAACTGCATGAATGCCCTAGTCATCATCTAAACAAGGCTGGATAGTTTTGCACACCTTTTTAATAAGCTCATCTTTCAACAAGGCAAGTTAGTTGGACTAAAAAAGTTAAAAAGGTGTAGTAAACAGAAAATAAGTGACACACAATAAAAAGCTCGTTTTATCTGCAAGACTTTCCTTAGCACGAGAATGCAGATTCTCCCAAATGCAGACTACCGATCGTACTTAGCTACAACACTGATTCACCGTGCCCAACCAGTCTGACTGAAACAAAACCTTTCAAATAATTTGCAGAGAATGAGGTCATGATCTTCCCCTCAGATAACACGTGTTGAACGCACAGTTAAGCCAAACACACATGCTAAAAATCAAAACCATCAGCACAGGAAACAAAAACATAAAAGCTTCCTTTACTATTAGCCTGAAATTTGACAGGTTTATGAATGTGAGAGCCAGGGACACAAGAAATACCAATTTTTCTAAGTTAATGGTTCATTTTGACCTCCAGATTGGACCCTGAGCCATTTCGCAGTTCTGTAGTCCTTCGTATATGACGTTACTACAGATAGTCTAACAGATGTTAGAGAATTTAAGTACATCATTCTTTCCACTGTTCAGATTATTGAATATTTTCCTTTTTGCTTGGAAAAAAAATACTACCTTGATACCAAGCAAAAGCTCTGCTCATGGCATAAAAAGTGTAATCTGCAAAGACAAAGCAGAGAAGGAACAGATCTCTAATAATAGTAAGTGAGGGACACACAAGAAGCTTTACACAAGATCACATGGGAACAAAGTATATAGAGCTCAGATCTCCTACACAAAGATGGATGTTTCCCTTTATTTGCATAAAAGGGAACACAGAAATAATTCAACAAAGACACTAGAGCTATTACAACACATTGGGAAAAAATAGGAGTGATAGATTAAAGTTACAAGGAGAACAAACAGCTTCTAGAGGTAGAGAGACTCCTTCAGTACATCTTCATTGGCAGCTGTGTTCCACTTAAAGCCCACAGACTTTAAACACTCTCCTTTTGTCCTACCGGTTTGCAATCAAAAAAAGTTTCACCACCAACTGAGAAATGGATCTTTTTTTCTCGTCTTAGATACAATTTCAATTACTGTAATGAATTACCAATGAATTACTATAATGTAATGATTTACGTTATACTTGCTTTTCAGCTAGACACCTCTTTTAACCAGGTTTTTATTTTAATTAATAACTACATCACTCCTAAAAAGTAGCACACGGATAATGAGCTCAAAACTCCCACTTCATATGAAAACTAATTTGTAAGTGCAGCAATTATTTTTTCAAAAAACTTTTAATACTAGTGTAGATTTTATGCTTTAAAAAGACCTATCCAAATGTGTAAACATTTGCCCCCAGATTAAGATGCAGACCATCATCCAGTTAACTCTCAGGAAATAACTGGTTCACTGAAGGACCGCTATTATTTGGAGGGGCTTGAGCATCCCAACCACTGTTTCAGGTTTTTTTTTTTTAAAAAAAAAAAAAAAAAAAGACTCCTGAACACCCATCCTTCCTGCTGTCTGGGAAGATGAACTGGAGAAGAGAATTTATGCATCATTTTACAGAAGTGATACTTCAACAGCAGCAGTGGGATTTTGGATTTTCTGCTCAAAAGAGCAGAGATTCAGGCACACTGTAACAGAAGACTATTTCCAAGAAGGAAGAAAAAGTGATATGAATCATGAAAGGGGGAAAAAAAAGTTACAATGGCTCTCGGTAGAGAAAACATGAGAGGAATGGTAACAACAGAACTACAATAAACACGCCATATAAACATAAACCTCAGGCTAGTGCCAGAGAATTTACCAACGGCTATTAATGTCAGTGTTTGCATTCTTCAGACCACTGTCATTTACAAAAAAACCAAAATATTTTCATTATTCCCTCCTTGTTTTAGTCTCTCTGGCACCTAGGCCCTGGAGTCAGCAGACGGACTGGAAGGGGAAGAGAGATGTTTTGAATGCTGTATTTTAATACACCCACATCAAGGCCAGTTTTTGTTTTCCACTTTAACAGGTCTTAACAGAGTGCTTCATCATCAGAGCCCCTGTTAGAGTAGTAACAAAATATTTTAAATATGTTAACAATTATCAAACTAAGCATGGTCTATACAGCTCCACAGTCTGCTATAACTCCCGTGTTAAAAAAATCCACAGTTCTTTGTGTAGCGCAGAAGTTTTGTAATTGATAGCTACACTAGATCACATATATTAACAAAGGAATTGTAGTGTCAGCTTTTCTACTTTTGAGTTGTGAATGCTGCTTGGCACAATTACCTACAGTGTCCTAATTAGGACAATCTAGTTATAATAAACCCTTTGTGCAATTTCTCTTTTGATGATAGCAAAGGATCAAAGGGGAAAAGGGGGAAATTAGAACAGAAAAAGTAGAGTTTTCACTATTTTTTTCTCTCATGCACCAGAGCAAGGTTGCAGAAATAATATAACAATTTAAAAAATTAGCATATGGAATACCATCATTGCAATGAAGCTTTACAGAAGAGCACTATATACAAAAACCTCAAATCTTCATTCTCAATGTTGAGAAAAATGAATTTTTCAGCTAACATGACCATCTTTCCCACTTATCATTCTTTATAGGTACACAGGCATAGCAAGAACTTGCAACAGTTTGAAATCACACAACTACAGGCATCATAATTCCGTCAAAGAGTCATTTCACAACATCGTCTTTTTCTTGGGTTGTTCGCTTGGATGTAACTTAGCTCTGATAAATTTCTCCAAAAGGCCTGGTTTTCTGCTTGAATTCAGCCAAATGTGTCTTCGGAACAGACCTAGTTAAGAACACTGCTGCTTCCATTCACAAAGACTGAGATGTCACCTAACGGTATTCTGCATTTATATTAGCTGAAAATTAAAGCTGTTGCTGTTACTCCTAATGTCGCTGTCACTCTCTAAACACTTTCTATTTTCTTTCAGTTAGCAGCAGGAAGAGGAAAAAAGGTGCCCACACCTGCTCAGTATCTAGAGAGAGAGAAATTTAGTCTCTATCCGTATAGCAAGCAAAATGGAATTAACTGGTTTATACCGTGTTACAAGTAACACACCTAAAGTAAAAAGAGTAACTCTGGAATTTGCAAGCCTATCCCTGGAAAACAATGTTTTTAAGAGCTACACTGTCATTTAAGCGTGTTCAGAATAAGAGCAATACTTGTTTATAATTCATTACATTTCATTTCACTAGCAAAATTGATGCAGCCATAATAGCTCTGAAAAGCTGTTTTACAAATATCATATTGTAAAGGGCTTTGATGACCAGGGTGATTCCTATGTGGGTAAACTTCTATTAATATTGTTACAGCATCTCTTTAGGGCTCTGTCTCATTACCAGCCATTGCAATATCATGTAGATGAAGTCTGAATGCAAACAGTGCAAGAATAAAACAAAAACAAACAAAAAAGCGCCAGCTTTAATTTCCCATCCAGCTCATCTGATGAGAGGTTTCACAGATCACAGTGAGGTTGAGTCCAAAATTGATTTATGTAGTCATGTAAAATCCTGGCTATTTGAAATATTTCCACAGTTAAGAAAAGAAAAGGAATCCTGACAAAAGAATAAAATTGAAAAAAAAAAAAATCAAAACATCGTGAAGAGATGAGCATCACTGAGTGTCCAGTAGCCAGCTGATTATCCACTACACAAAAAGAGCACTTCAATTCCCTGTTAAGGCTGAATCACAGTAGAGACTTTGACTTTTACACTCCTTGCACAGAGTTAAGTAACTACAGCTTACTGAGACAGCATGAACCAGTTCAGCTTCAGGAACCAACTGACTGCACACTCATGGCTGCCAGAAATTAGAAAGGAAGTATCCTCACTGGCATGAGTTCATGATAACATAGCTTCACAGTTTCCAGACATCCATGGACTTACATCTGGTCAGAGTGAGTTTCTAAGCACTTTCACCTGTTAATTTACGTATCATCTAAGTCTCCATTCAGAAGAAAGTATTAGGATACCTTTTGTTGTTCAGAATATTTTTCAGAGCCAAAGGGGTTTTTTTGTTTCAGTTTCGTGTTTTGGGGGTTTGTTTGTGCATGTTGTATATGATTTCCTTGAAGTTAAAACACCCCCGGATTGCCTGTGTTTGAAGGCAAAAAATCTTTATTTATACACCTACTATGTATCAGATATATAAAAGCTGAAGAGAAAAGACAACACAAGTTGAAGCAGGAACAGCTATGTTTGAAGCATCTGACTAGGTCAGGCAACTTTAAGGACCCTAATAATTTAGCGCTACGGTGAGGAAAAAAAAAAAAAAAACACAATCAGCAAGTCTTACTCATATTTGTATTCAGCAGATAAGTCAATATTCAATCTCAAATTTAGTCTATTCCCTCTGCAAAAATATTACTATTATACGAAGAAACACAGAAAAACAGACAGCTTTTTGCATGCTACTATCCAAATACATTCCTCACATCACAACAAATAGGAACTAAGAATCAAGACATTAATTTAGCCAAAGAAGAGTCATAATCTCAATTCACTTCTGGATCATGTAAGT